AGACTGGTGCATCAGTTAAATACCTTCATGATACAAAACAAACCCTTTGGGAAAAATTTCATATTGAATTTCCTAATGGAATTCGTCAAACAACTTTTATGACTAAATTACAAGGAAATAAATATATATATGAAGAAGATCTAGGTGGTTTTTGTTCAACATGTAGTCGTTATGGATATGAGATATTTGATGATATAAGAAAACTTATTGAAAATAAAATTATAGACATTTCAAAAAAGGTAAAACATAATCAATAAAGTTATTTTTATATACATTTTTTTGATAACAAATTATTTATTATTTTTAAAAACAATTTCTTGATAATTTGGAAAATTACAATGATTTTTAAAGTGAGATTATGAAAAAAATCTAATCATCAGTGATAAAGGGACAACAAAGTATAATTCATGTATTAGTTATTGTTTACTATATGTATTTGAAGTTTGTGAAGAACAACATATATATGCGTTCCAAGAATGTGCAAAATTATTTACCTTTTTTAAATGTCTCAAAATTTAGTTTTCTGCAGACTTGCATGAAGATCTTGATGAATATCAGAATCACCTATTATATTTTCTTGCTCATCAAGCCCATAAAGTTTATTTGAACGTCCAATTTAATGCCAATCTACTTGAATTAGATGAAAATGGAGTTGTATTAGTCATTGATTACAAAATGAAAGTACTTTCGAAAAGCTCTAGAGAAACAAAAGCAGAATTCTTTGGAAAAAAAGGCTGGACACTGCATTCAATTCTCATGTATACTAAAAAGCTAGAATCTCAAAAACTTGAAATTCATGCATATGATCATTGGTCAATGGATACACGTCAAGACTTCTGGTTTACAGCTTCCTCACTCTATGCTGTGATTAAATCATTAGAAAATAAACCAAAGTGGGTCATAATCATTTCGGATAATGATTCATACTATCATAATGCAGATTTGATGATAATATTAAGACATTGGTTAGAATAGTATCAAATAAATATAAAGAAATGGATATTCCTAGAAGTAGGGGAGGTGAAAACAACAATTGATAGCTATCATGCCTAAGTATAAAAAAAAATATTTTACCTATATTATTTGTTATAAGCATCTAATTATAATTTCAAATTTTCAATAAATCACTCATGCAATTAAACGTCATGTACATCTTGGATTAGATATAATGAAAGGAACTGATATTGAAACTGCAATTAGAGATATCTAAGGAATATCTGTTACACATTTAGAGTCAGATCAAACAAAAGGTAAATCTAAAATCAAGAAATAAACATAAATAAATATCTGATATTGATCTATTTTATTGTTTAGACCATAAGAAAGCAAAAAATACACTTTCTGATAATTCTAATTTATTTGAATGGACTTGGCTAGGAGAAGGATCAATGGAAGGTTATATTCTTAGTTGAGAAATTCCTAATATTGGAGAGTAGACAAAGTTTTCACCAGCACAAATAGCTAATTTGCAAAAAAACAATATTGAATTTGCAAAACCTACGGTATCAACTCATACGAGTCCAAAGAGTCAATGGATTATTGCTATGCCAAATACATCAGGTAACAAAATATTTATCTTACTACCTTCATCATCATTCACTTTTACTCTATTATCCTATTCCTTATTCTGTTACCTTCATTATCATTTGCCTTTACCCTATTATTATATTCCTTATTCTATTACCTTCATCATCATCTGCCTTTACTCTTCTTATTCTGTTAATTTTATCATCATCTGCCTTTACCCTATTATCTTATTCCTTATTCTGTTACCTTCATAATAATACGTCCTTATTCTACCACCTTTATAACAATTATTCACCCTTATCTTCTATTTCATTCATCCAATCCTATTTCTTATTCTATTACCTTCATTATCAACCACTCTCATCTTATTACCTTTATCATCTAACTATTCTATCCTCATCACTTTCTATATATTATATCTAATTACTGCTTTATTTTCAATATTTTCAATTTAGGTATTGATCCTAGAAGATTGACAAAAGAACAACTATTATTAGAACTGACAAAACGAAAAATAAATGTTGACAAAACTGCTAAAAGAGACGAGTTGATTAAAGAATTAGAACTTGCCTTAATCAACAATATAGAAATAATACAAGGTAAAGAAAAAAAATTATAAAAAATTTCAAAAAATGTCACTAATTCTATTTTTTATTTTATTCAAAAATGCTTTAGAAGAAAAAGAAGAAACAAATATTATATGGTAAATAAATTTGTTTGAAAATGTATAATAGCAATTCAAGTAACTCACTTTTTCAATAGGAATTCCTTACAAGATTTTCCTCTAGAGTCTGAGTGAGTGCTAAAAAGCAAACAAAAATATGGTAAGAGAGGAGGTGGAAAGCGTATTTCTAAAAGAGCATAGAAATTTTTAGAGGAAAACTTTTTAGAAGGTGATGTTGATAAAAGTAAAAGATACACTACTGCTATCATATTAGAAAGTCTAAAAAGGAAAGTTGAGGAAGGAGAACTGGGTGAAGACGAGGTTCCAAAACTACAAACTATTCATGGCTGGATTTCACGTTATTCCGCATAGCGTCGTCAAAAAATGGCAGAAATGTCTGTTAATAAAATGTAAAATAACATGAAATAATGAATAAAAATGATTTTTATAATAAGTATATCAAAAAAATTAGAAAGAAATGTAAAATTGAAATTTTACATTATTGAAATTGAATATTCAGATTAGCTCAGAATTTGACTTCCTTTCAACGTAGAGGCGCGAAAAAATGTCTGAAAAAAAAATAAACGAATACTACAAAAAATACAGATTATGATGTCATAAATAACTAATATAAAAGTTATGTAACTATACGTCAAACGATTTTTTAATAATGCTAATTAATAAATGATTTACATAAAAATTCCCTGATTTTACTTAGTAAATTTCTCTGATTGTTACATGAATTCTAAATTAACAGTATTTTTTTTACAAATTTTATATGAAGATTTTAGTGTAATTTTAGAGTGAAATTTAGACCTTTTAGTTAAAGTAAATTGTCTTAGATAAAGTTGTTCAGCAGGTCCAATTACTAATAATTAAATTTTCATTAAAGTTTACTAGATATTTATCTTACTATTGGTATTTTTTATAATATTACTAATTTGTGAATTTAATACTTAAATATTTTTTGTAATAAAAAAACTAATTACATAAAACTTTAGTTTAATAAAATATATTTTTAAATACAAATTTACTAATTTCTGTTAAATATTAAATTTATTATGTTCTTTTTTAATAAAAATTGTTTTTAAAAGTTAATTTTTTGATTTATTAAAATTTTTAATTTTAATCAATAAATTTTAATAATTTGTATTAAAATTATAAATAATATAAGATAAAAAGTTTTTATAATAATTGATTTTACAATAAATATTGTTTTAAATTTTATTTTAATTAGATTTAATTTGATGCTAATATATAAAACTAATGATTAACAATAATGGTGATGCATTATTTTTGGAAGCCACTGTATTATTAATAAAGAAAATTTAAAGTTCTTTAAATACTTACGCAAAAAAAATACAAAATTATCTGATAAGATATCTGAAGATAAATAATTAAATCCCTTAAATTTTGGAGGAGTATGAGATGGATCGTTATGTATGTGAGTCCAATATGATTAAACTGAGCTATTTGCATTCATAATTAAATCTATCTTTTTTTAGGTATTTTGAATAATCGAAATAAAGTTTTACTATTTTCACCTACATAATGGTAATTTCCTATATAATAAATTTATTATATTAAAATTAATTTTAAATTGAGCATAATAAATTATAAATCAAATAAATTTAATAAAATATTACCTTCAATTATTTTAAAATTTTGCATGTTATAATGCAA